TTGAAGATCTCTTGGTTAAGGTTGATAAATTTTTCTTTCCAGTTGATTTTGTTGTCATGGACATGGAAGAGGATTCTGAGGTTCCTCTCATTCTGGGTCGGCCATTCATGAAGACAGCTAAGGTCATTATAGATGTTGATGATGGAAAACTCAAGGTCAGGGTGCATGGTGATGAGGTGAATTTTAATAATTTTGAAGCTATGAAACACCCAAATGACAAGAAAGATTGTTTTAGAGTGGATGTGATGGATGAAGTGTGTTTGGAATCTGAAAGAAAATTTTCATTAGCCACACCAGTAGAGAAGTCATTAAATTTTGATATGAAAGCTGCAAGTGAAAAAAGGAAACTTCAATTACATGAACTTGAAGAAATGCGTTTGCAGGCTTATGAATCCTCAAAAATTTACAAGAGTAAGGTGAAGTCCTACCATGACAAGAAAGTTGTGCAGAGAAAGTTCCAACTAGGCCAACAAGCATTATTGTTCAAGTCCAGGCTGAGATTATTCCCTGGAAAGCTCAAGTCCAAATGGTCAGGTCCTTTTGTGATTAAATCAGCTATAACTTCTGGGGCAGTAGAGTTGGAAGAACCAAAGTCTAGAAGATCTGGGATGATGAATGGTCAGAGAATTATGCCATATCTGGGTGGTGAGGTTGAGAAACTTACCACTGTCATTCATCTCAATGATCCATGACTGAGTGAAGTGTCAAGCTAATGACAATAAAGAAGAGCTTACTGGGAGGCAACCCAACCATTTTGGTTTGAATTCTCATTTTCATTTTATTTTAATACTTTACATATGTAATTATGCTTTTGAAGAGTTGAGTTTGTGATTTTATGTTTTGATGATGCATTCTATCAAATGTTTTGTTCCTTCAACATTCTCCTCTCTTGTGTTATGCTTTTTATAGTTTATTGAAGGTAACTGGAAGTGGGAGTGTGAAAGGAGATCAAAATGTGCTTCTTCCAGGTAAGTCTACAAAACTGACAAAACGGCTCAGCCGTTTGGCTGCAGTGTCTAATTTTTAGCTAAAATTTTCCTCCCAGGGAGAAAACGGCTCAGCCCTTGAAAACGGCTCAACTGTTCATATCAGCAAAACATTTTGGTTGAGATTTCTGCATCAAACGGCTGAGCGCTTTCAAAGCGCTCAGCCCTTTTCTTTATATTGCTCTCTGCACCCAAACGGCTGAGCGCCTAGAAAGGGCTGAGCGCCTCAAAAAAAAAATTGAGAAAGACCAATCCAAGAAAAAAAAAGTTATCCCTTTATTTGTCTTTCATTCCCAACACTTTCAAACCTAGTCTTCTCATTTTCTCTCACTTTCTTCTCTTCCACACACACCATCATTCTCTTTGATTCAAGGTAAGTTTCAAGCTCTCTCTTTTGATTTCTGTTGTGCCTTCATGTAAATATCTTATTAGTATCTGATGTGTTTTGTGTCCACTTGTGGTGATGATAAAACTCTTTTTGGGAATCAAATTGATAATCTTTCTGGAATGAGCACTTTCATGGTTCAAGTTTTCAATGAGCATTGTTTGCTAATATGGAAATCTACATTGTTGCACAAGTGGTTGTACATTTTTGACTTAAAATGTGTGCTTCAAGCGTGTTCAAGTGAAATTGAAATGAGTCTGAAGTTGTTGATGTCTAGGGCACTTAACCAAACCGTGTGAGTGAGTGGGCAAAACAGTTAAAATTTAATCTTTGAGAGTCATCATTGATTCATGCGGTCGGTTTTGTTTGAGTCTTCCATGAGCTACAGTTAAGCTATGCTTGGAATTTACTAAGGCAGTTGTTTTACTTAGCCAGTAGCCAAAAAGCCAACCCATGAAGTACATTGACCCTTGAGCAGACAAATCTGACCCTAAACAGAACCCCTAAGCTTACAAAGAACAAATCTACTTAAACTTATTTTACTCAATAACTCTTGTTGTATCTTAAATTTCGATGATTCAATTTTTAAATTAAAATTTTTTAATACATTGATCAAGTCTACAAAGTTTTAAAAAAATTTAAAAAAATTTTATATTCCATTTCATTAATTAAAAGTAATGGATGATCATAAATCCTAAACCCTTTTCTCTCTCTCTCTCTATATATATATATATATATTTTTTTTTTTTGGTTCGTCCCTAGAGTATCCACCGCCGATAGCAGTAACTAATCCCCTCACTAGGTTGGAGGCACCTCAAAGGGTGGGATAGCTGACCTTGTTTAAGGGTGGATCAACCCCTACCGCTGAATCACACGCTTGGGGTTTCTCTCTATATATATATATAGTATGAGTCAAATGATATGGGTGTAACTATTAATAATTATTGCATTACTTTATAATTTTAAACTATATGTAAATTTTGTCAACCCAATTATTGATTTACAACTTTATATCATTTTTTATGTTTATGTAAAATTTTATTAAAATTGAACAATAATTCAAAAGTAGTCAAATTGTTCATATTCTAATATAATTTAAAGTGTGTATATTACATTAACTTTAATCTATATGAATAGGATATCAAATTATCTTCAATTAATATAAAAGAAAATTTATATATCATTTAGAAGTAAGAAACTTTCAACCAACGTTGAGTTTTGAAAAAGCTCACATCTAATAAAAATTTATAGAATAGTGTAATAGTAGTAAAAGTTATATTATTTGATCTCTGCACACACACACATATACATATATATATATATATATATATATGAGGAGAGTTATATTAATATTAGTGTAAATTTTACTAAGTATTATACTGCTCAATAACTTTATATTAAATGTGAATTTTAAAAGTTTAAAGAAGTATTGGGTGATTAAGGATTTAATTATTTAATTTAATCTAATTCGTTAAATTAATTTAAGGATTATGTTTTAATTCTCTCATCTCTCTCAATAACATATTATCTCACCTGATACGCTCCCTATATATATATATATATATATGAACTTTTAAGATTTTATATATATTAAGTTTGTAAAGTTTTACAAAATTTGAAAACTATTTAATATTTTATTTTATTAATTCAAATTGACATATAAAATATTTTTGTATTTATCCGTCAATTTGAATTATTAAAACATAGTATAAAATAGTTTTCAATTTTTTTAAACTTTATAAATTTATTTATATATTAAGAACTTTTAATTAACAATTAGATTGTTAAAATTTAATATAGAACATGAGTTATAAAGTAAAGTAAGTTTTGGTAGATTTATCTTTAGAATTAGTGAATCTCTCCTTTATATATATTATAGAATAAAAACGTAGTAAGTTATTTATATTAAATAATTTAAAATATTAATAATATTAATAATTTATTTTAATAATAATGAAAATGAAAACATATATAAACAAGTTGTTAAAGAATAAAAATGTAATTCTGTAAATAATTTATTTTTATTTATAAATATTGAAATATAAAAAATATAACTTAAAAATATTAATTTTTTTTCTATTTATCATCGAATTCTATTCTATCAAATAAACATAAATCTTACTTTATTTTTTTATCAAATCAATTATCATTTATTCACATCTTTATTCCTCCAATCCCTAAAGAAAACATAAATCAATCCAAACCTGATTTTATATTTTTTTGGTGAATTTGAAAATGGTTCCAGTAAAATGGAAAATGGCCATTTATAGCATTGTTGTAGTTATCATTTGTGCTTTGTCGATTGAAAGGGTTGTTGTAGTGATTGGTGTTCCGTAGATGGAGATGAAGACAATAATTGTAAGGCAAGGGATTCCCTCCATCCATCACCCTTCTACGCTTCCTTTGCCATTTTTAATGATGTTTTACCTTCCATCATATGAAAAACAATAATGTTTGCTCTTTGTTCACTCATGTGTGCCTCGTTAAATCATCTCTTTGAAGATCCTCTTTTACCGTTAGTAGTTAGTTTCCTATGTGCAGTTGAAAATCTGATATAAACATGTGGACCAATCATGTTTTTTTTCTTTTTTTTCTACCAGCAGCTTTATAAATGTTTCATTTTTCAAATATTGGCATTTTTCATTTTGGTAGCGGATATTTTCGTTGTCGTTTATTTTTTGGCAAAAGAAAAGTTTAAAGACGTGTAATGCTTTGTTAGATTTGGGTGAACCCAAATAGAAAGAAAATGGACAGTAAGAAATGATAGGATAAAGTCAAATTCCATTTTTGTGACTTTTATTTCCGTTCCCGTTATCTGTTGTTAAAAGCTCGAGTTTGAAGACGTGCTTTGTCTGATTTGGGTGAACATTAGTAAAGAAAAAATGGGCAGAAAGAAAGAAGTGGTAACAAAAAGTTATATTAATTTTACACTTTTTGTTTAATGAGAATATTGGAAGAGAAACAACGATATTACTTGGAGGTAAAAATTATAGTATTTATTTAGTAGTAATTTGAGTCTAACGGTAGACAAATCAATTAATCGGTCATTGTAAAGTTGTTTTCAGTTAAATTAAAAAAAAAAGAAAAGAAAGTAAAATATTTAATACATCTATATATATATAGTTGCAACACGAGTTCCAAATTATAATCTATTTAATATTGAGAAAGTTTTGCGTTAGGGAAAATATTTGGTTGTGATTTAACGTGGGGGCTAAGGTTGGTGGTAATGCAAATTGCGAATGAAGTATGAAGCAGTTGTGCATGGAATGTAGCGTTGTGTGTGAGAGAAGAGAGAATACGTGTCCAAGAATTACAATTAGAAAAGACGGCATTTACGTGTCAACTTGAGCAATCTCAATGTGGCTTCGTTCTCTTCTTATTAATCCCTCCCTTTTTATTCCATTCAGATTTCAGATTCCTTTCTATCTTTCCGCATTCTGTTTCTCTCTTTCCTCCTTTTATAAATTAATATATTTTTAAATTAATTATTTATTAAATATGGAGAAGACCGAGTAAGAAGACGGTCGGTCTTCTTCTCCCATGGCGATTGCCGACGACTCCGCTTTCAGCCACTCCTCCCTCCGCCGGAGGCCCACCGCCACATCGGACACTTCCGCCGAAGACTTGACCAAGGATTCTGGCTCCGACGACTCCATCAGCAGCGCTGCTAATCCGCAACCGCAGAAAAAGCAACAGCTCGATAGCTCCCTCCTTAAATTCGCCTACCGTCCTTCCGTTCCCGCTCACCGCAGAGTCAAGGAAAGTCCGCTTAGCTCCGACAACATTTTCCGTCAGGTTCTGATTAACAAACAACTGAATGCATGAGTCCTAATAGTGCTACTTACTTATTGTTTGAGTAGTTTTTATGGATTTGTGATTTATGATTTGAACTTAATACATCTGGCGGAGGATCAGGTTTATAAATATTATGATTGAACTCTGTAATTATGTTTCTTTACTAATTATTGAATCAGCTGCAGAGTCACGCGGGCCTCTTCAACCTCTGTATAGTAGTCCTTGTTTCCGTCAATAGTCGACTCATCATCGAGAATTTAATCAAGGTTTCCCTCTTCCCTGCATTCACCTCCAACGTTTTTTTTTTCTTTATGCTCTTCATTTTGACCATTCCGTTTTTTTTCTGTGTTTTATTTGTTTTGCAGTATGGCTGGTTGATCAGGTCTGGCTTTTGGTTTAGTTCCAAGTCACTCAGAGACTGGCCACTCTTCATGTGTTGGTAATGCGCCTCATCATACGCGCTTTCTAATTATTTTCGGATTGTTTCTTGAAATTCTGTGTGACAGTTAAGTGATTGTGTGCTTGCTTTGCAGTCTTTCTCTTGTGCTATTTCCCTTTACTGCCTTCATAGTGGAGAAGTTGGCACAACGAAAGTGTATTCCTGAACCAGTAAGTAATCCGCATTGTGAGCTTTTTTCAGATTTATTTATTTATTTATTTGAGAGGGGAGAGGGGGGCGGGGGGGCGGGGGAGGATTGTTCTGTAACGGCTTAAAATCCTTGTTCGTTGCATAATATGGTCAGTGGTGCCATGCTATTCTCAACCGTATAATCTTCAATATTTGCATACATGGGAATATTACATTGACTTTAGTATTGCAGGTTGTTGTTCTACTTCACATAATCATTACTTCAACTTCACTTATCTACCCAATTTTAGTAATTCTCAGGTCAGTTTAATTTTTAAAAAAAATTGTATATATTCTTCAAATGTGATTTTTTTTGGTCCATTTTGAAAGAATTTGCTTATAGAATGTGGTTTTAAATTGATAACGGTGTTATAATTAATAAACTTTGTCACTATCCTGCACAGGAATATAAAAAAAATATTATTATTTTGTAAAATTGTTTGCGAAAAGATTTAAAGCCCTTGGGTTTTCTTTAGTTTATGATGTTAGAATTGAATTATCTTGCTAATTAGTTTTATTGGATTGCTTCATGAACAATGAAGATGGCTGCTGAGAGATAAAATAATTATACAGTTGTACATTCTTAGTAACTTCAAAGACAAGGATATGGCAAAAAGATGGTTACCGACTTGTAACATTCCTTTGCAGGTGTGACTCTGCTTTTCTATCAGGCGTCACATTAATGCTATTTGCTTGCATTGTATGGTTAAAATTGGTGTCTTATGCACATACCAACTATGATATGAGAGCACTTACCAAATCAGTTGAGAAGGTAATCTATAACCTCTGTTTGTTTGAGTGTAGAGAAAATGAGGGAGAGAGAATTTTGAAAAGAGAAAAAAGGAGGAGAATGAATTCTGAATTTTTTTATTAATGTCAACTGTTCTCTCTCTCTCTCTCTCTCTCTCTTTCCTCTTTAACTAAACAAAAGAAAATATATCATTATCTCTGTTTTTACTTTTCATTTTTTATTTCCTCTAGTTTTTTCCTTAACCAAACATAGTCCCAAGTTCTACTTATAAGTTGGTAAATAACTATTGCCAAATATCATTTTCACTTATTTGTATAATTTATACTTTAAAGATGATCATTTATTGCACAATGTATGTGATTAGTTTTGAAACAGAAACATCCTGCTACAGCTGCCACACTGAGCTGTAGCCTATGGATCTTGTTCTCTCAGAACTTCATTGCTACAGTGCAGTTTTATTTCATCTTCCTTTGTTTTTCATTCATCCTGTTTTCCCTATATTACTAACTTATATCTAGATTATTATCTCTTCACGTGTCAAAGTGTGATAAATAAACCATTTGTTTTCCCCTCTTATTCAAACATGATTCATGTGATACAGGGAGAAGCACTACCCAATACTCTGAATATGGACTATCCTTACAATGTGAGCTTCAAGAGCTTGGCATACTTCATGGTTGCCCCTACATTATGTTACCAGGTAGCAGTACTTTCAAGTGATTTAGTTGATTTGTGGAAGCAGTTTCCTTTTATTTGTAATTGTTGTGGTGTTGCCTTATTTAGGTTCGCTGATTTTACATTTGCATTCATTTATCTCTAATTAGATTGCTTAGAGGCACAACCATGTGGACTGACTTACACATATATATTTGGTGTGGAATGTGTCTGAGGATTTTAGTCATTGTCTAATCAGACATGCTGTTGGGAACCAAGAACAGAATTTGATAAAAGAATGTTGTTGTATTGAATATAGAACGATGACAAAAAAAAAAGGAGAGAATTCTCTTCCAAGGGTTTCTCTTTTCACAACAGAGCAAATACATAGCTTACAAATGCTAACAAATTTGAATGACCCCCACAATCTGTTAGTCAATATGTTCCTCAACCTGCATATAATAGTGCTTGCAGAAAATCTTAGAATTCACCTAGTTTGCAGAAAATTTGCTTGAACTAAAATAGGTTTCTGCAGTTCATTTGTTTTTAGATTTTCTGCATAAATGTTTCTCAATGTGATTGCAGCTGTTAATTTTATTTTTTTCTCATTGCGAAGTTTCTCACATGTATTTTGTTTTATGAACTGTTGTTTTAGCAAAGCTATCCTCGCACACCTTATATTCGAAAGGGTTGGGTGATTCGTCAGCTTGTCAAGCTGATAATATTTACAGGAGTTATGGGATTTATAATAGAACAAGTAAGCATTACTTGTTAATAAATTATGCTCATTTCTAACTTTTCTTTTATTTGTTCTATTTTTTTCTTGAGTTTTATTTTACCAATTCCATGAGTATTCTGACATTGTTTTAACTATTTAATTTTGCAGTACATCAATCCTATTGTACAAAATTCGCAGCATCCTTTCAAGGGAAACCTGCTCTATGCCATGGAGAGAGTTCTGAAGCTTTCTGTTCCAAATTTATATGTGTGGCTCTGCATGTTCTATTGCTTTTTCCACCTTTGGTATTCCATCTCTTGTTTGGTTCAACACATTTATATGTGTGTGTGTCCATTTTCCTTACAAGACATTTCTATGATATTATATTCACTTGCCATAAATTTAAAAATTGTAGTTCTGGTTTCTTGTGTTTGATACCTTAACTTCTGTACCCTAGAAATTTCTGGTGCTGCTGCTGTTACAAGTCTAATTGATTATTCTTTGAATTCATCCTTGAAGTGATGTCCACTTTCCTTAACACCCTCAGTAGTAATTGCATCATTTATGAAAGATCTAGCTGATTTAAAGCTGTACATGTAGTGACTATTGTTGTCTGGAGTATATACTTCATAAAATGTAACGTTAGCTTTATATCCTCTTTGGTGTGCCACCAGTGGCTAATTTAAGTGAGACTCTGACAGATGTACAAAAGGATTTGAGAGATTTATTTACTTGATGAGTTTGTATATTTTTTGTGTGGTCGCTGATGTTATTTTTTCTTCATTGCTGCACCTTTTTCATATATTTGTAGAACTATTCTTAAAAAATAGATTTACTTTTAGATTCATAAATGCCTATCTGCTTGTCTTATTTGTGAAAAAGTTCGGCTTTGATTCTTTAAGATTTGGTTAATATCTGAAGCAACTGCCGCAATGTAGGTTAAATATACTGGCAGAGCTTCTTCGATTTGGTGATCGTGAGTTTTACAAGGATTGGTGGAATGCCAAAACTGTTGAAGAAGTATGTTATGTTGCCCTTGTATTTAGTTGTTTGCTTACAGTACTTTCAATCTTTCATAAAGATAATTTGTGACTTACTATCTTTGTCACCTGTATTTGTCCTGCTCCTGCCACCATCAGTATTGGAGGATGTGGAATATGGTATGTCTCCTTTTCATGCTTAATTTTGATAGACAAATTGATTGGCTGGTCTATTGTTCGCATCTATGTATAATGATGGTTGCCAACTCTCTGAGGCTATTTTTTAACTAAAGGAAGAAAGAGAAGTTATAGCTTTTTGCCATCTATTATGATTGCTACTGAATAAATGATTTCTATACCATTTGTCAGAACATATGATTGATTATTTCTTGCTTTGGAGTATAGTTCCAAGCCATTAGTGTACAACTAAGTGAATTTTTTCACATTGCAGCCTGTTCACAAATGGATGATCCGCCACCTATATTTTCCATGTTTAAGGCATGGCATACCGAAGGTAATCAAGCATCCTCCTGTATTGCCGAATGGATCCTGAACTTATTTGGTCTAAACGCTTTTTAGAGTATTGTCAATCTTTGTTTAACATCTCAGGTTGCCAGTAAAATGGTCACATATAACATTTTTTAATAGAAAAAACATCTTACTTTTATCCTAATAAATAATTAGTTGTTTAAAAACTTATCAATAAAACTGTTACATTATTTTTTTAATAAAAAGTATATAATATATAATTTTATGCACTAATTGTAGTTTGATATGTTTGATGCACTCAGGGAGCTAGGTGTAGAAAGTTTTCAATTGATAGACAATAATTAAACTTCATCTTCTGTTCAGTCATGTCAGATAAATGACTTTAGAATGCATAAACATGCATTTGCGTGTAGACTCACATGAACATGAATTGCAAAGGACCTCCATTAATTAATTTTCTCATGTTCTTTATCTTTGTGATTTTTTTTATTGGTCTCTGTTATCAACAATTTCTTATTAACATAGTTGCCTCTCATTGGTTAATATTTGGATTGGTTCTTTTTCTGTCAAACATTATTGGTATTTATTTATTTTTGAGTTCTAGATATATGTATGATTTTGATGTTTTTTATCATTGTACAGGCCGTTGCTCTTTTAATTGCCTTCCTGGTTTCTGCTTTGTTCCACGAGGTGTGTTTTTTGTCTCTGTATATCCTTCTCTCTTCCTCTTGTGGTATTATGTCATAGTGGTTTTCTTATTGAGTGCTTGTCCGCGTGCTACACTGAACAAATTCAGGGTGAAAGTAGCATTAATTTATTCTTTGGAGTATTCTTTCCCCGCTTTCCCTTAGGCAGTTTTGGGAGAGGATTGAAAATTTGATGCTAAGTTGTCACTGATTTGCTACTTGTTAGAATTTGGTACATGACATTACTTGTGGCATGTACGTACACATGTGGCTTGTACATGTACACATGTTGTGGCATGTACTCGCGATGGCCTCAGAAATAGCCTTAGGAAGTTAGCTACCTAAACCTCAAATACCTTGTGGCATGTACGTTGTTGGCATTTGTAGATGCTGCAGTTTGTATATCTTAAAATGGACTCACATGACCATTCTAACAGTTACATTTTCTAGTTTCTACGCGAGTTATCACTATTAATTTTGGAACCAAAATTTTCCTATATTTACTCAACAATACTTTCTTAGCCGTGAATCATTTTGGTACACATGTTGTGACATTGTAATTATGCTTTCGATGCTTGTCAGAGTTGTGCAATTTTTCTCACGATTTCTCCCTTTCATCTGAGTGCAGCTGTGTATTGCTGTTCCCTGTCACATATTCAAGTTGTGGGCTTTCGGTGGAATTATGTTTCAGGTAAAATCAAGTTACTGTATCATACTACTGTTGGTTCATCTTCTATTGAACTAAAGTACCTTAGAGTAAAATTAACACATTTTCCTAGAAACCAAACTTCTCCCCTCTTCCCCCAGGAAGAAGGTGAAGGCTAGCCCAGAATTTTTTTTCCAGTTCTTTTATTTTCAAACGAAAGAAGTATTCTCTGGAGTAATGAATAGTGTCATGTTTAGAATAGTCGATGATTTTGATATCATTCATATTTTTTGTTCAATTGACATGATAATGAATTCCTTTTTTCTAGGTTCCTTTGGTCTTGATCACTAATTATCTGCAAAATAAATTCAGAAACTCAATGGTACGTCTGCTATTTAAGCATATCAGTTCATAATGTGTTTTATGACTCCATCATCTTGAATTTAATTCATTGCTTTTTAATTTGTGATTTTCTTCATGCTAGGTGGGAAACATGATTTTTTGGTTCATATTCTGTATTCTTGGTCAACCTATGTGTGTACTGTTATACTACCATGACTTGATGAATAGGAAAAACAAACTTGACTAAAGCTAGCATTACATTATTAATCGTGCGTGTGGATGAGCTCTTCAATTTTCAGAGTGTACAATTGATGTGGATATGTTGGTCAATACTGTTTTCCACGTGATATGCCACTTCACAAGGCTAATTCATCTTGATCTATGTGATTACCAACATTCCTCTGGCAGTTGTATCAATATCTGCAATTTTGAAAGCCATGCACTCATATTGATAACTGCCAAGGAACAATGTTGATTAGTAGAGGAATAGATTGATGTAAATGGTTTAATGCTCAATATATTTATTTCTTCCTAGTCTTGAAGATCAACGGGGTCGAATGATGATGCCTTTTTAATATATAGCATTTTTTGGTGCCGCATTAGCATGTTAAGCATAACTAAAGATACTTGGAACTTTCAAAACGAGTGTATTGCCTGAAGCAGAAAACTTAACTAACTAAAAGACCTATTTGTTCAATTTCGATTGACGAAAAATAGTTTGTTTTATGCTTGTCTAAATTTCTCAATTGAAAACGCTGCATTTGTTGAATTGGAGGGTTTCATTTAAAATGTATACCGTGTTTATTGACTATTTAATTATTGGTTGCTAATATCGATTAATGACATTTTTAATCTTTCTTATATATAAGAAATAAATATTTTATTCATTAAGATTAATGAAAATTGTTAAATTAATTAGTTTTTATTAATAATATCATAATTGAAAATTTTATTTTAAAAATATTCATAGAATTAAATATTGCATCTACTAGTTATATTTAATTATAATATTCATTAAGGAAAAAATTGTTTTATCAATAAACATAACTTATAAGATTAATAGCTCAATAAATATGTTGACTTTCGTTTTCTTTTGGGTACAGTCAAGAAAAAGAGAGAAAAGAAAAGGATGTCTCATTAGATTCATAATAAGTTACAGTAATAAATATATTGACTTTCATTTACAGATAATTTATTAAATATATTCATAAAAAAATTAAAAATGTAAAAAGAAATTATTCCCTGTAAATTTATATAAGTAAAAATAACTAATTTTATACAAATTAAGAAAGTTCATTAAATGTATTTAATTTTCATAATTTCACATAAAATATACACTACATTTTCTTAAGATATTATCAATCATATTCATAATAGAGATTGCTCTTATTTATTATTATAGAAGTATTTTTAGATTAAGAATGTTGAATAAGATTAATTTGATTAAAATTTACTTATAATTCAGTCCAAAATTTTCAAATATTTTTTACTGGTACATTAAGACATGATTTATAAAATTGATTCGGAATAAATTAAAGACATTAAAAGAAGAAATCATGAATTACATATTAAGACTAAAATGGTATTTTTATATGTAGAAAGACGGAACAAGGTAATAAAGGTGAGTTATAATGAATTAATGAATGAATAGTTAATGGCGAATAATTAAATACTACACACTACAGAGTGTTTGCGTGATTCATACATTTAGGCAAAAGTCTTTAATGAATTGTTGAAGTCGTATAAAAAAGGGGTACCCTATCCGATTAAGTAGCAGGAGGAGCACATGATCCAACTCGGACACCCAACCCAAGTGTCAAACTTGAAAGACGGCGTGCCTGTCACGTGACACTCATGGCGTGGCACGCTCTGATTGGACCCTCGATTCCCTTTTAAAAAATAAAAAAATAAAAAACCACCGACGCGAAGATGGCATTGTAGTCAGCGCCCCCAATATGAGTAATGAAAAGAGAAATATGAAAGATGGTTTGGGAATTGGGAGTGGCTACTGCCTACTGCCTAGGTTGTTTGTAGGTTCCTCTTAAGTCTTAACTGTTATCTCCCTCTCCTTAAAAGGTCGAATCTTTGGGTGCTCATGGAAGATTTCAGATCCAAATCCTACGGCGACGGAAGGATGCAGATTGAGAGCTACTCCGGTAACAACATGCAAGATCTCCGCTGCCACAGCGCCTCCTACGCCTCCTCCGTCCACCCGACACAAACCCACAACGATGCCAAGTTCAAAAAGGGCAAATCCACCAACGCCTCCACCTCCAAAACGTGGACTTTCAGTGACCCTGAGTTGCAGAGGAAGAAGAGGGTCGCAAGTTACAAGGTCTATGCCGTTGAAGGTAAACTCAAAGGCTCCCTCAGGAAGAGCTTCAAGTGGCTCAAGGATAGGTGCAACAGAGTTGTCTATGGCTGGTAATACTACTAATAACATAACCACCTTTGTTACAATCACTTTCTTTCTCAGATGGGGTCGCTGTCTTATATATATATATATATATATATCAGAATAATTTATTTGTTTTCCTTTGTTTATTTGCTGAATAGTGTTTATTTATGTGGCTGGTAAAGTACACATAAGGAATGTAATGTAACATGGAAGAGGAAAAAATTGTGATTCTTGTGTTCGTTTTGGTCTCTGTAAAGAGTACAATTCAATCGCCTTGCTTGCTTGAGTTTCATTTATACTAGTTGTTTATAATTTGGACAAAATTGGTATGCATGTTCGATAATTATTATTTTCAATCGGTGTTCCCTTATTTGTCATACGTGATTTTGTGTCGAGTGAGTTTGTGGTAGTCAATGTGGTTCACTGGTTTTCCCGGTTGATATTCTTCTGCTTTCCCTCATCGAGAATTGATGATCTTTTTTCACTGCTATGAGGAGGAGGAGCCTTTTTTCGTAACTTTCCGTTTGGATTGTTGAGTGGTTGAGCTTCGGGGTCCACAAGGACATCTTTTTATAGCTTTTCTGAATGATAATGATGATACGGTTCAGGAAGATACATTGGGATGCTTTGTGCTGCTTTATTGGTAGCATTTTGTCAAAGACTTCTCGAAGAAGTCTTCGGTACAGGGAAAAAAATCAGGTCATTGTTGATTAAAACGATAATTTTTTAGGGGTAATTAGATTTGGTATAGCAACAATAGCATTTTGCTAATGTCCCTGTAGATTTTGGCAGGTGAATTTGATTTGGCATTGAAGTGATTTTTTGTATGTTAGTCTTATATTACAGATTTGTAATTTTCAAAAACTATTAATTTTCTTTGCCAAATCCTTGAATGGTTCTTCCACCTTTTGCATAATTTAAGCGAAAGTGTTTCATATGTATACATCTCATCCTATCTGGGTATCATGATTTGCTTAACAGCTAGTGTATTAACCAAGCTATAGGAGTTGCATAATTCTAGATTGCATTACATTCATGGTTTGCGTTAGGATTTTCACCAATGTAACCAACTGGTATAGTTTTTCTGACCAACCTTCTACCACAGAGATGAGTTAGTCTCAACTTTTTCATCTGATATATCAGGTAGAATTTCAACATGCTCACTGCCAACATGTTTCTTTACAACCCTCGGCTAGGCTAATATTATTCATAGCTAAACAAAAATCTAAGTGACAATATCCACCCTTTGCAAACAACAGAAATATTTACCTGCACCAGCCTAAGGTGAGGAATATTCAAGACAAAATTTAGAATCTCTACTAGTTTTCCAAGTTTCAAACTCCAGTTTGATCACTTTCAAAGCCTTTGACGCCTAAGTCAGATAGCATATGCAGCATATGATGTGAAGATAGAATTAGAGTCGTTTGTACGTTGAGCTTGCTAGGATTACTTATAGTATATGACTCTGAGTTAGGTAATTGCTACATTGATTCGCAGTTACTCGTTAGTAACAGTCTTAGGTTGTGTTCCACAGTCCTTGTTTAGTGCCAACTGCCAAGAAGATTCTCGAGTAGGGGTGTTGTTCTGGAGTTGGGAGAGTCATGTATTGGGTTTGTTACTTTCTTTGATATATGTTCCTAGAAGATTACTTACATGTATTGTCGGTGTTTGGCAAAATAGCCAATAACAAGTACCAACAAAGTCAGTTTTGAATGGTTGTTAACTTGGTATGTGCTCTTGACATTTGCTGACCCCCATTTCTTTCTACCAGAGATCGCATTCAAGAGGCCTTTATTTCTCAATTCAACCTCTGATGACAAGCCATATTCGGTTTATATCTACAGTCCAGTTTTGGAGAAATTATTAGGTGATATAAGATCACCAATTAATCACTACATGATATGTATTTAAATTTTTTAACTTATGAGAAAATTAAGGTTTAATTACTTTTTTATTCCTATAATTAAAAACAATCCATTTTAGTCTCTGTACATATTATTTTTGTTTTTTCTTTAGTTCCTTGTTTATTTTTATAATGACTAGAAGAAAAAGTTTATACAGCTATAAGAATTAAAAGGGAAATTTTATGTAACTATAGGGACAAATAGGGAAAGTTTTTGTGACTATAGGAACTAAAAGGGAAAAAATGGTATATATAAAGACTAAAAAAAAAAATAATAATAATAAATAAAAAATATATATAGACTAAAAAAGTGATTAAACAAAAAATTAATTTTATTACATGTCATGTAAAGACTAGTTAAAAATCATGTGATTTAAGATTACTTAATGATTTCTTCCTATTTAATCTATAAGTAACTATTAAAGTTTAAGACGAAAATTGACATGTGACATGTAATATTAGGCTAACATTTTGAAAAAGTGTATAGGGTTAAATTTTTTTTTCTCCATAAACATGAAAAAAATAATAATAATAATTTGAATCTCTCAGTTTTAAAATGTCAAATTTTGGTTCTTCCTTTTTTTAAAATGTGTGAATTTTTATTCTTGTTACACTAAAGTTAAAGACCCTAAAACAGTAAAGTTAACTGAACATTAATATTAAATTAGATTAATAAAATTAAAGAAAAAAACACCGATGGTCGATGTTTAAAAAATTGGAGGGTTTAATATTTAGGATTTACGGTTTAGGTTTTTTTTTCTAGGAGTCTAATCTCTCGAAAATAAATACAGAGACCTCTTTTCTTACTAATTTCTGTATATTGTTTATTTGCACGTTGTAACTTGTCAGTTACTTGGCAAGTTAGATCACGATCAGACGCAAATGTCTGAATTCTGCATAAACTCATATAAATTAATGAATGGGTGATTATTACTATCATAAAAAGTACGTAATTTTTTTATTAAAAAAAAACTTTTTTAAGAGTAAAAATGTCTGATCTAAATTGAAAACTAAAAAAAATGGTGTTTAAAGTGTATCTCCATCTTCTAAAGAATTGCTAGAGAGCAGGGTCATACAGACAACATAGTCCCATTACAAATGAATATCATCTTTATTAATTTCGTACACAAATTTTAGATATGATAAAGTTGCAAAAATAAACATTGTTGTCAAACCAAGTTAACTAAGTCTTGAATTTACTATTCTAGGTAGAGTAAACAAATTAACTTCTTTCAATATAAAATTAGACAGACTGGTACAAAGTCACATAAACTTTCAAGTAAAAAAAAAAACAGAGTGTTTAATGCTGGCCACCCACTATTTGTGAGCCCAACATAAAAGGTAACATTCTACTCTGACTTAATTACATAAATCGATCAAACCCTCACACCGCTGTCCATTTTATGCCAACCAATCAAAGCTCAATCGTAGCATTGAGTTTTGTTATCAAACTTTATGCTGCCAACTTGTCATCCTTCCGTCACAACAATGCCTATGAACCTGACATTCCTTCTGAACCCAACATCAATTGAACCTGATGTTGTCAACTCATCGTCAAGGATCAAGCTAAAGGGCATTGCACAGTAAAAATAAGGATTAATTAATGTTCTTTAATATGGAATACTTCCTAGATAAACATGTATATCCTTCTAACATGCTATGATGCGAAATGTAATGTAACCGGTTTCTAACATTTTAACAACGTAGATGGACCTTAATTTTAGAGTCAAATCTAAAAGATAACCAATCATATGTAGAGGCATGCAAGTCGATGTCTATGAGTGTGTTTGTTTCAAATCCTACAAAATTACTTCTAAGAATGCGAGTATGAAAATGTACCAACTTGGCTCGAGTCATTAAAAAATATGTATATGCATTATTTATTTCCAAGAATCTATATTACATGTGTTTTACCCCTTTTTTTCTAATCCCATGTAAAAGGATAGGCTGGATAGCAATTTTATATCCTGTTAAAATGGAAGTTATTTTTTAAAAGACTGAAATATGCTTCTAATTCTTGTAAAGTACAAATTTTAATTTTGATTCATGTAAATAAAATTGTTTTTCATTCTTCTAATTTTTTTATTTATTACTTTTAATGTATACTATTATGTGATCTTTATTAACTATTTATGTTTATGAAAAGGTAAAGTAACTATCTTATACATTATATCTACAATTATTTGTGATTTTATGTCAGCACATAACTTTATTAAAAATAATTTACAGATACTTAAAATAAACAATTATTAAGACCAAAAATAGTAACTTCAAATTTTTGAAACATGAAAAAAAATATATATGTATATATACACAACAATTAAAATCAATATTTATTTATTTAATAAGATAAAAGTGGTTTTAAATTTTAGATAAATAAAAAAATTACGAAAACCAAAGTCAACTCTCTTCAATTTATGTTGGCTAAACATATCTAATCCTTTTTATTAAAAACAGTATTCCTAGTAAGTAAATTTGTTACAACTCATTTTCTTTTTTTTTCACTTTTCTAATTAAATAATTAAAAACGTTCCAAAGAATAATAAGTATTAATCGTATATTTTTTCTGATGGAAATAGTATCCCTAGTAACAATACACCCAAGAATATTATTCTTAAAATTATTACTAAATCCGTGAAACAAACACGCCTTATGTGCCTCTATTATAACCAGTGATAGATTTTTATGTTACATTTGAATATTATCATATTTAAAATATTTATAATTTAGTAATCTGTTTTAAGTTTACAAATCAAGTCAAAGAAAGTTTTGGAGAATGAGTTACTCCAGTTTGACAACCATGGAAACTATAAGGATACCGAATTGGCTATGCAAGTATTCATTCAACAAAAGGCAAATAAGAGGACTTGAATTCCCAGACATGATGAGTACACCAGACACTCCAATTTAATGATAACTTTCTCAGATCGAAATAAAATGCATACAAGTTTATTGTGACAGAACTAAGAAAAACAAGAGAGACACTATGATTTAAGCTTTTGTAGGAATCTCACAAGAACATTCAAGTTCCTAACACAAAAATAATTGCCAGGCAGTTACATCGTGGAAACCAAGGAAATCTTTATCCAACAAGAGTACAATGGCTAATTACATTTTTTGCTGGTATTTGATAGTTTCGACATCTGCAGTCCACGTGAAACTGTAAACATCTGATAAACCAATATAATAACTCACAGAAAAAGATGTTATAAAACTTAGGAGTTCCAGCCAGAAGTGCCAATTAAAACTGAGCTTTACAGCAAGCACAATCCCTGGTTTAGCTCAAATTATTTCATCTTCTCAGCTTCATCGGTTTGAGCAGATGAGTTAACAATACAAAGCCAGAATTTCTAGTTCAGATCCAAATTTCCTCACAGCTCAACTAAGCAAC